ATTCAGTTGCTCAATAACAGATGTTTGCCACACTTGCCTTTCAGCCTAAAAATAATGAGAAAAGAGGTCAAATAAGTAATAAACTACACGCATGCCATAAGCAAACAGAGATACATTCATCTGCAACATAAACCTCAGACCAATTCAACGGACTCAGAGAGTAATTCCACAAAGCACCTCGTTGTTAAGACCAGGGGCTTAAAATATTAATGCTGTGACCGATGGTATTGAATATACCAGTGGTGGAATCTTACAGGCCACAAGAGAACTGCTCAAACCTACACATGTAAAGCCCTAAGAAACATGCTGTCAAATGCTTTCAGCTGTATCAACGAAGTGTTTAGCGCCACGTTTAAAACTGTAATGCTTTGAGAATAATGTCATTATAGGTCTTTTTTGAGTATGACGTCAAAGTCATAAACTTGTACTATAACGAGACATAATCTTAAATAATTTGAGAATAAACGGTAGAATAAATTCCAGTATGAAATGAAATCCTATTCCTATAGTGTTAATCATGCCTTTTCTCATAATGTTGTTTAATTTCGAAGTACTTTTTGACAGTATAAAATTACTTCAGTCTCCTAATTTTTCTGGCTTTATTCATGTAACAATACAACTTCATTTTCATAAAAAGTGTATTCTCTTTTTTCAATGTGGCACTAAAGCAGCATCATAAAGGAGAAAGCTCATCCACACATTTTAGTATGTCAATTGCAAAACCCAAGACTAATGTGTCAAGTGGAAAGTGCACTGACCATATATATATATATATATATATATATATATATATATATATGTTCATATTTTACATTTATATTTAACTTATAGATATGGATTAAACTAGGGCTGCACAATTAATCAAATTTCTAATCGCAATTACAATTATGGATGCCAAAATTATGTAATCGTTCAAAGCGGCAATTAATCGTTCAAATTCCACTTATGTTATTCTGCGTGCTTAAGATGCGTTTCTTTCTACATGTTATCTTAAGGGTTTTTCCCATTATTTTAATTTTAGTTTTAGTATAACATTATAATACAATATATATTTGTACTATTTTATCATTTAAAGAAGAAACCAATCCGATGCATATTTGACATTTGAGGCTTAATACTATAGAAAAGCACTAAACGTTTTTCAGTTAGAGTGTTTTCAGCTTTTTTATTTTCATATAAATCTACGGCATGCAGTTGCATTAAACAATGGTATAAACATCATTCAATGTAAATTGTGATAATCGTAATTAATAATCGCAATTACAATTTCAAGGGAATAATCGACAATTATGATTTTTGTCATAATCGTGCAAGCATAAATGTAATCGTGCAAGCTTGATAGGTTGTAGTTTAAATGTCTTTCAACCCAAAATGCAATATAAACCAGCTGTGACTTATTAAAGATGTTCTCAATGAGCAGCATCTATGAATCAGAAATCTTTTACATTTCAAATTAGGACAACAATAGATGAATGAATCCAAGAGTCTCTGAACACAAGATAAATGAAGTGCTTCAGAAAGCAACAGTGTAACAGGTAGAGACTGGTACTATATCAACAACTAACCGCAGCTTGGATAAACTAAAAATTACTAAGGTTACCGAATCACGTGTTTCCAGCCAGGAAAAACACATGGCTTTGGGCCTCATCAGACGTGGTTTTACAAACAAGAGATACTGTCATTGACGTAATGATAATTAAACAGTTGCCATGACTTTGGACTCACAAACGAAGAAGAATGATGGATTGTCTTCCATTAATGTTGAAGATTAAAAGTTGAAATCTCAGGGCCTTTGACCGTCACTTTATTTTAAAAAGACATAAAGATTGCTACTGTCTTTATGATGCTAAGCCAGCCACTAAAACACTGATGTAATTCCCCGTGGAGAGAAAAGACTGATACACAGTCTAAAGACATTCCACAAAGCAATTCTGAGATATATAGCTAGTACAAGCTTGAACAAACACTGTGATATCTGCAGGCTGAACCTTTAGGCTTTTTGCGGTGAGTGCAATATACTGTAAGAGACTGGAAATGCGGCTTATGTCAACACGGCCTGAACATACTCTACACATGCACGCTCCTAATTATGGCAGCTCGATTTCACATGTTGTGTACTGAAACGTGTCAAGTATAATTCATAAAGCTGTATGTGTTGCAATCTCAGTTTTGCCACAGGGGGCGCCATAGTATCTCGCATATTGCATTAGCAAACCTGCTTCTAAATGATCTAAATTAAACTACTAAATATTAGCTAAACTATAGCATTACCTAAACTGCTACTACAAAGCTAAATTAGGGCCAGATTTTTTTCAAACCATCTTTTGGCGTTAAAATAGTACCGACAGGATTTACGAAAGACACACAGTGAGGAATTAGCACTGAAAAGGCATGGACACAGTTATTTTTGTGCCTGACCTTATTGAATATGCATTTGTAGGAGTTGCAATGAAGCACACAACTTGATTCACTAACGTTTGCGCTCGTCAAATTACTGGTATTAGCGCCATTATTTAACGGCCAAAAAAGCTGGCGGTAAATTGCGCTGGTCATCGTGGAAACGATCTGGCTGCATCTGTGTTCTTTAATGTGCGCATTGTTAGTAAATCACCCGCAGAATTTTCCACTCCCATCGGCACTTTTATGGAATTGCGCTCTAACGCTAATTTGCCGTTTAGTAAATCTGGTCCTAAGATAGGAGAATGTTAGTTAAAGATAGCAAAAATGTTGACATGTTTATATCAACAGTAGCTATTTGAATAACAACAAACTCAGTTTAATGTTGCAGACATCTAAAGAAAACTCTACGGCCCACAAACAACGTGCTTGCAATTCATCGGCCAAGATACGTGGCTATGGTAAATGTCCAAAATGTCAATGGTTGTAAGTGTGACCTGCTTACTTAAACTCAGTCTGACAGATTAACACACTCATGTGATCTGTACCGGATTGTTCAAATGCCTACCTATAGCAAAAACATTCAAGATCAGACCTGTGACTATTTTAAACCACTGACCACTCACATTTTCTGTAAACAATATATACACTCCCTTCCTCGGTCATCAATAAAAGCCAAAAAAATCAATTCTCAAGATTGTCCAGGTCGTAAGTAAACCATTTCCATGTGTTCGCAATGGATCCTGCACCTGTTTTAGGACATTTAAAGTTCTCTCTCTGACAGGCTTTCATACGCAAACACGATGCCTTCATAGAAATCTGACAGAAGAATAAAGAGAGGTGGAGTGAATGACATTAGGCCTAAGTCCAAATGTTGTGCAAACTGAGCTGCAGGTCAAAGTCTGCCAGCTCCAGTAACCAGAGCTCCTGAGGCCTATCAGAACAATGTAACATGAGCGTATAGACGGCCTTTGTTTTTCAACAGAGGCTTTTTACAACCACAAAAAAGAAGCATTCTGTGTGTCCTTTCAGTTTGGTCACAAAAGGATGTGTTTAATGAAGAAGATATTATCCCACATAGACTTTAACTGCAGACTACTTAAAGGGATAGTTCGCCCATTCCGTCATCATTTGCTCACCATGTTGTTCCACACCTGTATGATTTTCTTTCTTTGGTGGAACCAGTGTTGTTATTGGTCACTAAAACTATTACAATTTTTCAATTGGTCGGCGCCAATGGCCTCATGGGCAGCGCGCCGACATGTAGCGCCTTTGCGGCGTCCCGAGTTCGAGTCCCGGCTCGTGGACCTTTCCCGATCCCACCCCCCTCTCTCTCTAACCCACTTCGCTTCCTGTCGACCTACTGTCCTATCGAAATAAAAGTCATAAAATGCCAAAAATAAAAAATTTCTATTGAATACTAATAACACTGCTCGTGAAACACAAACAATATATTTTGATTAATGAGTCAACTATTTTTGTCCATACAATGGAAGTCAATGGGGTCCAAACTACAGGACGTTAAAAACATTACAGAAAATGTCATCTTTTGTGTTTCACAGAAGAAACGAATGTTCTGAAATTACATATGGATGAGTACACAACATCATTTCTGAGTGAACTATCCCTTTAACATACAAGCAAAGGCTCAAGCTAATAAGTTCAACTGACAAAACAAATGTGACCTAAACCTTGATTACGGTATGACATTTTGAGATGTAGCCCCTCTTCAGCTCAAGAGTCCGCAGGAGAATAACATATTCAGATAAAATCTCAGATATACATATCAATAAAACATGCATATTAATTATAATCAAAACAGGACCCACAAACTTACTGTAATTTAAGTTATAGTAACCTATTGTTACTTTGATCAATAGAACGTAACATATACAAAATGAAGGAAAAGCTATATGTGAGCATATAATTATATATTTTCATTTGAAACACCGAGTCCATGTTTATAAACACAACAAGGTCATAAAGCGTAAATACAGCATAAAAAAGAGAAATGACAACCTAAATCCTATAATAAAGTATGCATATAATGATCTGGGCCTGTTTAATAATCAGAAGAGTAAAGTAAAAAGACATTATATAGTCTTATATTTGCATATCTATCAACCACTACAAGTACAATATAAACACAATAAGGCCTTGCAGCCATACAGTAACATGACACATACAGTAACAGTTTTGACCACTTCTTAATCAATAGAAGTCAGACATGAACAGATGGAGAAATAAAAGAAAATCTATGTAATCGATACCCCATTTGATCTTATGTTACTGTAAAACAGTAGCTAATTAACTAACACTTTAATTATACATCAGATACGTTTCTCAACACAATAAGGCCCTACAGCCTGACTTAGGATTCAAAATAAGGTAAAGAGGGTAAAAAAAATTTATGCCACGCATGCATCTAATCTTATATGTATTAAACACTGCATCAACACAATGAGCTCGTGCAGAACATAAAGCCCTGATGATGGTGTGACACTGTAGCAGGTACATGAGAGGCGGGCCCATACGGAGCATCAGTGAGACTTTATAGGCTCTTCAGTATACTACATGAAATATAAAAATGTATATTCTTATACCTGACAGCCACGCGCACTGAGCTCTCATCTTGTCCCGAAGACATGTTCCCGGTCAGGACACAAGAGATAAATATAGCCGAATTTCCTTTTCTTTATCGGCTTAAGAAGCAGACACAAATAGAGCGTCCCTCCCGGCGTCTATTCTGCCATGATAAAGCTCAAATGATCCAAACGGGTGCTCGTTTGACAGGAAAATAATGCAAATATGAAATAAAAGATCTCGTGTTCGGCGCCGCGCGTTACATGTCTAGCTGCGCTCACACACACACAATCATCTGCCCTCAGTGCCCTGAAGATGACGTCACCACGCCACGCCTTCATCGTGCGCCTCAGACCACGCCCTCCTCTCCACAACACAGCCACACATGACAGCATAGGTGGCTTGCTTGGGACATGTAAATTATTCAATATATATGCCTATAATATATTTATATTGTACTGGATATTTTATTGTATCGGATTTTATATATATATATATATATAATTATTTTTTCTAATTTCATTAATTAATTCACTTTGTTTTAACTTGATTATAGCACAAGCCTCTTGAATACTTTGTAACTGCTGGTTGGCTACAGACAGAAAGTATCAATCTTACAGCACCTCCATTTGGACACACACAGTATTGCACGTATGAAATAGATACAACCCCAATTCCAAAAAAGTTGGGACACTGCACAAATTGTGAGTCTGAATAAAATATTGAAATTTGAAACTTCCACATCATTGCATTCTGTTTTTATTCACAATTTGTACAGTGTCCCAACTTTTTTGGAATCGGGTTTGTAGATAGATTTCACAAATCAAATCACAATGTTTATATGTTTTTGATTGTAACATTTTATTTACAGGCTGATTTTATTACAGTTTGTTGATTGTTGACACTTGACATAGTCAAGCCTCATTCACATATAATTCAAGTATACTAAAAAAAAAACCGATTGGTTAAAAAATATAACCTAGCATATGGGCAAGGAGTCAGGTGACAATGGACAACTATTTACACTTTTGGGATGCAAATCCATATAAGCACATCCTAGGAGTGCACAGGCAAGGTTCTGGTTAAATTTGTGTTCTTTAAAAAAAAAAAAAGAAGGTAATTGTGAGTCTGGCATAGTTGTTGTATTTGCTCACAAAGACTAGCTAACTAGTCAATGAAATCGTCTAACCAAGTAGGGTTTCGAACAAAATAATAAGAAACAAAAATAAAAAAACAAATGAAATTCAGTATTTGAATGAAAAAGTTAAAAATTGTATTAAAGATAAACACATCACAGCTGTCAGACAAACTTCACAGTATATCAGTCTGAATGAAAGGACAACGTATGTGCAATACATTTTGAAACGACCTAATAATACGACTTGACATGAAACAGTAGAACTGAGAAACAAATCTAAAACATGATGACGAACATGTTTCTTGCTTAGTCCGGTGACTCAGAATCACACATTCTCTGTCTGTTTGTCTGCTCAGTGTGGACACAACAGAACCACCTGCTGTGCCCTGTGCCCTCACTGTGTGTATCCAGCATATTGTATTTGTTCAGAAAACCAGAAACCTGCTGTCTTAAACCCAGAGCTCTCCAGCTGACTCGCACAATGACCTATAGATAGTCTCGTCTCATTTTCTCTTTCTATGTTCTTCAAAGTTTGATTGTGTAAAAGCTTGTTTTGTAAATGACCTTACACGATTTTACATGAAAAAAAAAAGTTTGATCACTATTGTTGTTACAACAGGATGCTAGGTTTTTGTTTCCGGATATGGAGGACAGTTGTTTAGGTTAAAATATCAATAAGAAATGAGCAATACATCCTTTGAAGTACACTACCTAAATAATAACTAGCTGAAAGCGTTAATCCAGGAAAGGAAAACTACATAATTCGAGACATAATTTATACAGCTAAATTTCTGGGCAACAGGTTCAATAAAGTGCTGAAAACATATAACCAAAATAAGAAAATCACAAGCAAAACAAAAAAACATGACACAAAGCAAAACAAAAGAACAAAAACAAACAAAACAGCAAAACGAAAATATAACAAACAAATAAGTAAAACAAATGAACAAAAACAAAAAGCAAACTAAGAAAACTAAACTAAACTAAACTATAAAAACAAAAAACAAAGCAAAAGGGAACTGTTTCTACAATTCCCATTAAACTCCAATTTCAGTATCGAATTGTCATGTGTACACATCAAATGTTAAAACCATTGCTAAAATATTAAAAGTACCAAAGGTGTTCCTGAACATCAAGCATCTCCAGGCTTCTTTCAGTCCTCATCCTTGTTCTCCACCGTCTTTAGAACCGAATCTTCGCCCAAGATCTTACACAGTTCATTCAGTCTGAGCTGCATCTTAGGGATGCCTGCGAGCTGAGACTCCAAGCGTTGCTTTTCCTCCGTCAGTGAGAGCCGTGTGGCCGTATCTAGCTGCTCGAACCGCCAGCCGCCCTCCCCGTCAAACTGCAGCAGGTGTGTGTGGTATTTCCTGCGGATGGGTGAGAAGAGTGTGAAGTTACATCATTTGATGAAATCTAAGTGTATGTGTGTATAATGCATTCCATGCATTTTTTGCTGTAGTAACTGGTAAAATGTTCCTTTATGCAAACTCAATCACTACAATTCCCTACTAATTAATGTTTCTTCAATACATATTATATACATACTACTATACTTTCAGAGAGAGATGACAATTTAATGCATTCATTTAGTGCAATAAGAAAATTAAACAAAACATATTTACATAAACATTTAATCATGTTGTACTATATTATATACAGTATAAGATATTTTTCCATATCTACTGAATAATTTAGCCATCTATCTAATTGAAATTTCCCCCCCCCTGCAAACACTGATTCATCAATCAGAATTAATTAGAATATCATGTAATTAATTTGCTTATGTGATACAAGTGACCGACAGTCCCCTTTCTTTCCTTAGCCATCTTCAAGAAACGGCTAAAAACACATCTCTTCCATCTTTATTTGACCCTCTAACTCTAGCACTCTCTATTCTAATTCCATTTTATCTATTTGTTTTTTAAAAATCACTTGCACTCTCTATTCGTTTTCTAACTGCTTGCTCTTCTTAAAAAAAAATAATCTCTAACACTAGCTTTCTACATTCTTTCTCTATTTTATCTACTTGTTTGTATGTGTGTGTGTGTGTATATATATATATATATATATATATATATATACACACTGTATATATAAAGACTTGCTACATGTACTGCGTTGGGCTAACCGAGACTTGTCATAGCACTTGCATTTTATTGCTCTTTTGTTGGTTTTGATTGCTTCTATTGTCCTCATTTCTAAGTCGCTTTGGATAAAAGCGTCTGCTAAATGTCTAAATGTAAATGTAAGCATAAGATTATTTCAAGAAATGTAAAGTTTTATGTTTCTTACCATAGAGAGGGTCTATGGGTGATGGACAGCAAGGAGATACCAGCATCCTTTGCAGCCTGAAATATTTTACCCTCTACATCAATGCTGACTGCACTGGTACACTCATCCAGCAAAGCATACTTAGGCCTGAAAAAATGCATCAATTAATAATATTATTTAAAATCAATTAAAACACATTAAAATAATATGTGCAACGACATCTTACTTGTGGTAAAACATGCGTGCCATGCCCATACGCTGTTTCTCGCCTCCAGAAAGAACATCTTTCCAGTCCAGCTCAGCATCCCACCCTGTAAGCGGACACAGTCGTGAATGACCTCTAAAATGCAGTTTTATTTTTCTTCCCCAAAATAAATGACGAAATGGCATTTTTAATTGGTGGAAAGCGGGCTCAAAAAACTTTGATCCTATTACAGAGCACACAATAATTATTTCAAGGATCAAAAAGAGATTGAAATGGTGAAACACTTTAGTAATGCTAAACGGGAATTACATGTACAAACCTCCTTCCCGGGTAACAATGTGGTTTAGATTGACAATGTCCAGAATAACTTCCAGGTCCTTGTCTCTGTAACCCTTGTCATGCATGTCGTCTAGAGAGTCGGGGTAGATGACCTGGTCCCGTAACGTTCCGATGGACATGTATGGTCTGGAGAGAAGATAAAACATGTTTACTGTTATTTACTGATATTATGTCCGGTGAAGTGAAGATAGACAGTAGATAGATAGATAGATAGTATAAAATATTAATGGGCTTCTGGCTGCGCTTGCATCTGCAGGAATCTGTAAATATTTCACTACTGAGGACTCTGGTTTCTATCGCTCAGCATTTCACAGAGCTTTAGTTACACTGTCTCTGACTCTGGATACAGCAGTCAAATCCTGGCGGTGCAACGTCTGCAATATGGAACAGAGATGGAGGACAGTAGCTGTTCTGAAACCTAGTGGGCCGTCTACCTAAATGCATTTTATTGCCTCGTAGGTCCACTCTTAACATAAAGTCTGCTACAAAGAAAGCAAAAATTACATGCATAATAAAGTAACTGGGTCTGGTCAAAATCAAAAGCATAATCCCACATACAGTATCCTTCACAGAGAACGCCATTCTAATGATTTGTGACACAATGAAAAAAATCAAGATTAATGTTAATATGTGAAATTACCGGTACTTATAAATGTGTTTCATTCAGTGCATATATAAAAATAATTTTTAGATACATTTTATACTTAGTAGTAGGGATGCACCGATACTGGTATCGGTATCGGGCCTTATATGAGTGGCTTTGGAATATAAATCGCAGCACGTTTCAGATGAAAAAACGCGACATCTATTTCTGAAAATATCACAGTTAGGAGATTTATAACGTGTGGTTCCCTGCATTATTACAGCAAAGCGTGTGATTACAGTACTGAGCCGCTGCAGTGGAGCAGCTCTAATGCTATTAAATTAAAGAGGATGTACCACAGAGCAAAAAAATTAACATTGAAAGTAACAAAATCTTGTAAAATACATTTTAATGGGCATAATTAAGTGTGAAAATAACCGAAGGATATACAGTGAAACTAAAAATGATTCAGAGACCAGATATAATTTTTTATATTTTTTTACTAGTGGGTGCAGGACACTATAGTTCATTTATGTAAGTGAGGATAGCAAAATAAAGTAAACTGTGACAAATTATACCCAAAAATACTTCATACAGTGGACTACCAGTAAAACTGATACAAATTTGGGTTAAAAAATTATTCAGACCGAGTCTGGGAAAAAAACTGAAGTTGAGGTTTTCATGAAGCTGGGTGACAGCACGCCCAGGAGACTACAGGCTGTCATTAAGGCTAAGGGTTGCCTGACTACGTACTGATAGTTGTGTAAATATTGTCTTACTAACAGCTGTCTTAATTATTTTGGTTGATTGTAATCTAGTACATACCTTTCTATCAAAATTATCTAGCATTATCAAGATAAATTTGTTCTGACACAGTTTAGAGTTCTTGTAATATTTTATTACCATTTTCTAAACTATAGCAAATAAACTGTGATAATGTGAGAAATGTTGAAGGCGTCTGAATATCTATATCTAATTGATAAATGAAGTTAACCAACTAACATTATACATACCCTTTTGGTTTCTGTACCCAATATTAAAAAAATTAACAAATGCAATAAAAATATCGGTATCAGTACTCGGTATCGGCAAGTACCAAAAATAAAAGTATCGGTATCGGGCGAGTACTGGAAAAAGTGGTATCGGTGCATCCCTACTTAGTAGAGTATTTAATTGTTACCTTAGTAACATGCTAACATCAAAACCTATTGGAATCAATTGTGAGTTGAGTCTCCTGTGCAATTTATTCTCATTCAGTGTTAATTTTGACAGCAAATTTTGATTTAGTCGTGGCCTAATGGTTAGAGACTTGGACTCGTAACCCAAAGGTTGCAGGCTCGAGTCTCGTACTGGCAGGGACTGTAGGTGGGGGGAGGGAATGTACAGCGCTCTCTCCCACCTTCAATATCACGACTGAGGTGCCCTTGAGCAAGGCACCGCACCCCCCAACTGCTCCCCGAGCGCCGCAGCAAAAAAAAATGGCTGCCCACTGCTCCGGGTGTGTGTTCACTGCGTGTGTGTGTTCACTGCTGTGTGTGTGCACTTTGGATGGGATAAATGCAGAGCACTAATTCCGAGTATGGGTCACCATACTTGGCCACATGTCACGTCACTTTATTATTATTTATCATATTCTAGTCATCTGAATTGATTGAAAACGATTTTAGTCGACTAAATCTACAGTAAATTTAGTCGGCTAAAATCTAATGGGTTTAGTTAAAGTGTAATGCATTTATTAATAAGCATTTCTCTAAAATTTGCAAACTCATTATATAGGTTTGATATTAAGGTTTTATCATGATAGACACTGATTTAACTGCGGTGACACACAACATGCCTTTATGTTAAACTTAAATAAAACCACTTCTCATAAAGAACAAGAACATGGTCTTCTTTTTAATGAAATACCAATGGTTATATAGGATAATTATGCATTCCTTATAGCAACTTGTTTACCATATTCTTCATTCTTTCAAGCAGACATATTTATTTCTACTGTTCTATTTTTCAGTCAAGAGCAGTGCGTGATTTTCTGTCTTTCTTTTGTTAGTTGATTAACATCAATGACTCGGACAATAGCAACTAAATTAGGCTGCTGTCCCTTTAAAACCGAATGCACAGCTGCAATGGATGCAATGTACTGATACACGTTCTCCCTACTGTTTACGTTCACTTAAGACGTAATCAACTGTGTTTACGTGAATACTCGTCAAAACGGACAATTCGACATCATTTTGTGTGTAATTCTCTGTTCATGCGACGCAAAAGAGTACTCGCGCGCTATGAGATGCGCTTTCTGTGTGTGTATGCTTCAGTGTCTGCGCTCAGAATGCGTAGCCAGATTTATCTATATGTCTACTCTTCTCTTACTCCCACATATTGACATTTTTTTATGTTTTATGAGACGTGCAGCAAGTGTATTTTAGCTTATGTCCCGCCGGTTCATATGTACGCATCTAGCCTCCTAACTATGCAATTCGTTCTGAATGAATCTCTTCCCAAATCGTCCCTCCCTAACATTTTAGTCTCGTTTTTATTCGTTGACGAAAATGTCAATACATTTTCATCATAGTTTTTGTCATTCAAAAAGAGCTTGAGTTCGTTATCGTCTCGTTGTCGTCGTGAAAAAAATGTCGTTGGCGAAAATTATGACGAAAACTATTCGTCAACGAAATTAACACAGTAAATGTGATCCAATGCGCTTCTTGTACGTATAGAAATAGTTAGATTTTTTGGTTGTCAATATGGTAGAGTTGCAGAGCATTTTGTTACTTGGTATGACTAGCAATAGATTTGTAAATGTGACACTACTTTAATGATTTGTATTACATTTCTTCATTTAACTATTTATTGTATTTCCATAAACCCAAAAAAATGTAATGGTTATGAAAGGAGTCCATGGTTACAAAAAGAATCCATAGCAGCAGGCGGCAAGGAAATTCTATGCATTTATAACAGTCTAGGGTTTTTCACACTATGCTTAACCTCAGGTAAAGATTTGTTATTAAATCTTGTTTTTATTAAAAAAAATTATTAATTACTAATAATTAGCACCACTTTTTTACCCAGGTTATGAAACCCTGCTCTAGTGTTGTCTGTACCTCTGTGGGATGTAAAACATGTGCTCAGGTGATGGTTTGTACAGAAGTCCGCCGTACACAGGCCACAGGCCACTGAGGATCCGGAACAGAGAACTTTTCCCACATCCATTCGGCCCTGTGATCAGCAAATGCATCCCTTCCTCTACCTGCAAACAATATCCAGTTTCAGGAAACTGAGTGCAGTTCACATGGTTATGTAAAAGGTACAGTATATAACGACATACTTTTAATTTGATCTCGAGCCCTACAATTTAAAAAGTGTGGTGGTCCTTTACAATAACTGGGTTATTTGTCTGTTAATGTGGAACTTGACGGATGCAAACCAAAATATATGGTTAATATAGACAAATTCTATATTAATGCAATAATTTGTCATGTAGCTTGACAACCATAAACAACTAAACTCTGCTTTGCACAATGCCAAACAACATTCCCTTCATAACCTTGTCTTGACTTGTTTAGCACACTTCATGTTTGAGTCGCATGTGTAAATATAAAACTCTGATCTTGACTGATAACACGAGAAATATATCTACAGTATCATTGTACGTGTATAGCAAATAGCACATTTGTGACCAAATATGTACAGTAGTACTAAAAGTTAAATGTTTATTCTTGTTTAACTCACCTTGAAGTTTAAGGAGGACACAACCACATCTCCATTAGGAGTGATTATAGGCACGTTTTCACAGACTATACCTTTATCCACATCAATCACTTTGCCTGTAGAAAAAGTGGAAACAATCGGACAGAGTTTTAGAATACAATCAAACTGAGGAATAAATATCTCTCATTAGAAAGCTATGGCACATTCCATACATACAGTACATATTGCTATCCTATTACTGTTTTGTAAAGCATTGGAGGCACGTTTTATTGTTTTATTCAATTGTGTGAGATCTAATAGGGATGTTTGACATATATAGTAACTATTATCTAATCATAAAATTTGCCTTCTACAGCACTGTGGGAAAACAAGCAATGTCTATATTTCCTCATTTTTTTAAAGGAAATTGCAGTGTTGACATTATTCATCACGTTTAACCATTCAACCACTGTTATTTAAATTACTGTATAAAAAAAGATCAAAATAAATGATTTGATGATGTATGTATAAATACACACACGTGCATGTATATATTTAAGAAAAATATGTTCTGTTTATATATTAAATATATTTATATATTATATAAAATATAGGAATATGAATATATAAATGTATGGTAACATTTCCGTCACACGCTTGAGGTGTTCGGCCAATCACAACACACTGGATAGCTGGCCAATCAGAGCACACCTCGCTTTTCAGACCGATGAGCTTTGTAAAAATCATCGCGTTTCAGAAAGGCGGGACATAGAGGAGGAACAATAATGTACAGTATGTGGAAAATAACCTTTTTTTAACCTTAAACCGCATAAACACATTTCATTACACCAAATACACAAAATAATGTTCTTTTTAGCAACATCATATGACCCCTTTAATGTAAAATAAGTTTGTTAATAACTACAAACTACCATTTGATTCCAAACTTTTTGATCTATTTGATCGGAATACTTATTTGCTAAACTGCAAAACCTCAAAACTCAAGGGTTTGACATGCCTTAAATGTTTGTAAAGGGCTTGCAAAACCTGAAAACTTCACAGAAATAAATAAACATAACTTAAATTTTGATTTTTTTTTTCAATATAAAATAAAATTTACTTTTCCAACTCTTAAATCATTATTTCTTAATTTTTAAAGGTTGTGGGCCTTATTTTTAAGTAAAAAGTTTTTGAACAGTTAGATTAAATAATTTAAAGAATTCTCTTCTGTTCACCAAGCCTGTATTTATTTGATCCAAAAAACAGAAAAAGTGCTAATACTGTGAAATATTTTTAATAATAAAAAAATGTATAATTCATTACATTTATATAGCGCTTTTCTAGGCACTCAAAGCGCTTCACATTGTCAGGGGGTATCTCCTCATCCACCACCAGTGTGCAGCATCCACCTGGATGATGTGACGGCAGCCATAGTGCGCCAGAACGCCCACCGCATACTAGCTTATTGGTGGAGAGGAGACAGAGTGATGAAGCCAATCAGTAGATATGGGGATTGTTAGGAGGCCATGACAATCTAAAACTTTTACTATTTATAATAACTGTGTTCTATTTGAATATATTGTAAAATTTAATTTATTCCTGTGATTTCAAAGCTGAAATGTTAGCATCATTACTCCAGTCGCACAATCCTTCAGAAATCATTCTAATATTTAGATTTGCTGCTCAAAAAACATTTATTATTATTATGATTTTTTTCAGGTTTCTTTGATGAATGGAAAGTTCAGAAGAACAGCATTTATCTGAAATATAAATCTTTCGTAACATTATAAGCGTCTTTATCATCACTTTTGATCAATTTAAAGCATCCTTGCTAAATTAAATTGATTAATTTCTATAATTTAAAAAAATAATAATACTGACTCCAAGCTTTTGAATGGTATAGTGTATTATCGCAGACCGAGTCTGGACCAATAAAATGCGCATTGTTTTACGTTTTACTACCAAATTATATGTAATATCTAATTTTTATTAATATTTAACGTACACTGGAAAAGTTTCTGCGACATCTCATGAGATCTTGGCAAAAAGTATCATGATTCATTTCGACAACATGATGCATAATGGGATACACTTAGCCTCGAATATCGCTCTGAGGTGTGGATTTATAGTGTGCGTTAAGGGCACAGTGCTTTGGCGTTTTTAAGACCAGGGACAGTCTTGCACACTTACTTCCTGTTGCATGCACGCGCTCTCAAGTGGCCAAAACCACAAGTGCGGGTATTTGAACAGGCCCAAAAGGTAGGGCAGAGAATTGATTCCGCTCATCAGTTGTTGATTGGATGGAGGCAGAGCTGAATGCAAGCTTGCAGTCAGCAGAGTTTTTGAGAACAAAATGATTGAAGAAGTTTGACGTATGTCACTACAGACAAGTTTGTCATTTCACCAGAAGATCAAAATGCATTAGTGCATTAATTAACGATACTTGATGGGACCTGTATTGTAAAGTGTTACCCTAAAATTAAATAAAATCAATTAAAGTTAAATACAAATATTAAAAAATAAGTAAATAAATGAATAAATAAATAAAAATAACCTAATAAATAGACAAAAGCACATAACAAAATTACTAAATTAAATGAAAAAAGTACAAAAAATAAATAAATAAATAAATAAAAGTATGGTCACATCCATTAACAAGCCAACGAATTTGCCTCAATAAATTCCTAATTTGCTGCTTATTAATAGTTAGTAAGGTAGTTTAAAGGGTCAGTTCACCCAAAAATGAAAATTCTGTCATTAATTACTCACCCTCATGTCATTCCAAACCCACAAGACCTTCGTTCATCTTCGAAACACAAATTAACACAATTGAGCAGAAGAGAATTCTTAAAAAAAAAAAAAAAAAAAAATCTTAATGTTCAAAAACGTTTGACTGGTAGTGTACTCTGTGTCAATCAAGTTTTATGATTATTCTCTCTACATATCTCTTAATATTATCTCTAGTTACATTTCATTCCAATAAAAAAAACTTTCATTAGGGGCATGACTGAGAAATTAAAGGAAAAGGTAACCCAAAAAAGAAAATTCTGCCATCACTTTTGCTCATGTTGTTCCAAATCTGTACGGCTTTCTTTCTTCCGTGGGTTTTAATGTTCCACATAAGACAAAAAGTCATACAGCTTTAAGACATGAAGGTGAGCTCATTTTTGGTTTTGGGTGAACACAGCAGCAGAATCACGCTACGTTCATTAGACCTTTGATTTCCAGAGGCCCATCGATGTGCATCTCAGGTCGGTTATCATCCCCGCTTATCATCTCCCCTGTGGTCGAGACGGCAGATGAACGTTTGTATATTCCCCTCTGGACTTGGTCAAATACCAAGAACATGTTGTGCACACGTGCCGTGTAGCCAGCCAACTCGGTGACCTAAAGCACACAGAGCAAATGTATGTGATTGGAGTGATAGCGAGTCCTTCAGAGGCTGAGGTGACCCAACAGCAGATAGCATTGCTCAACTGCTGTTTGTCAGATCTAAAGTAAGTGACCAGGTATTTGGGGCACTTATGTAAACAAGTGACCTGAAATTTCTGCATTCTAGCATCAAAAATGCTAATCAGCCTTTGCTAAACCCATTGTGTGAAGTTTATAGATCAATTCTTTTGCAAAGCACTGGCCTGAATGCTTAATCTGATCCAAAGCATGAGTTAGGAAGTGTTTAGCCAGTGTTTTTCTTTGTTTAGGCAGACACACCACATCCCAAGAGCCTCGGCAAGAAACACTGTGCTTTCCTTTGGGGACTCAATGGAGTCGACAGGAAAGATTAATCTCCTGAGAGTAACTTGTTAATTGACCTTCTAAGCGGTTTGAGAATCTAGAGATGTTTTTGTCTTTTAGTATTTTTAAAAAAGATACTATTGCTTAACTTATAGTCTCAGAATTAGACATGTTATTTTCTTCAGTTTTCTATTGTGACTTCCAATTGAGTAAAACTATCAAAAAGGACAACAAGTGCTTGTTCAAATACCCACACTTGTGGTCTTTGCACTTGAACACGTGTCTACTTACAGTACATGACGTATTTCCTGTACTTGGTCCAAGTGTTCAAATGGGTGTGAAGACCACAAGTGCGTGTAGAACTTTTCATTACCCAATGGGACAAGTGCAAGTGTTTATAGAGCTTTATTTAGATTTTCAATACTTTGCATTTTAAAATACACTTCGAATGTCTGTTCATTAGTTTTTATGTATAGCACAATTAAATTATATCGTGATGTTTCTAATTAAATGTTAAAGAGCAGTTGGAAACATTTCACAAAAAAATGAAAATTCTGTCATTAATTACTCACCCTCATGTCATTCCAAACCCACAAGACCTTCGTTCATCTTCGAAACACAAATTAACACAATTCAACCGTAATTGTACGAAGCTAAGAGAATACTTTTTGTGCGCAAAGAGAACAATAATAACAATTTATTCAGCATTTCTTCTCCCAGAGTGACCGTCTTCCGCAGAGCACGCGCATGCTGAATGTAAACAGAATTGTTGAATAAATTGTTATTATTTTTTTCTTTGCGCACAAAAAGTATTCTCTTAGCTTCGTACAATTACGATTGAATTGTGTTAATTTGTGTTTCGAAGATGAACGAAGGTCTTATGGGTTTGGAATGACATGAGGGTGAGTAATTAATGACAGAATTTTCATTTTTGGGTGAACTATCCCTTTAAGTTTAGGTATTGGGAAGAATTAGGGATGTAGAATATGGTTATGCAGAATATGTACTTTATATAAGTACTAATAAATAGCCAATATGTTAATAATAGGCATGCTAATTAGAAACTTAGTTAACAGTGAGAATTGGCCCCTATACTAAAGTGTTACCAACTCACCACCACTCACACTTTACATTTCTTGAGAAAATGTCAAAATATTAATTATTAACAAATCACATATAGGGCTAGTTGACAAGTATAATTAGAGCACAATGTGCTATTTTAAAAGGTCTGAAATAGAGTGTTGTCGTGCTTTATAGTATCTAACACTGTAATGGACACACGCAGCATCTGTGAAGCGGCTCTGACTGATGCTTTCTATTCAACAGATGGTGGATTAAGTTGCCCAGCAGGCTTAGTCAACAGAGTGGCAGTTGAAAAAAACACTGATCACTAGCCTACGTTAAGATGCCCAGCGTTCACTGCTGCATGACATCACATCCTTTATGGTTTCAGTTCCTGGAGTGGTGATCTTGCCCTTGCTGTTGTACTGCTATATAAGAGAAATTTGAATTTTTGTCATGACAGTTTTATCATTTTGTTGTAGAATTAATGAATATACTAATAAAACAAATGTTACAACTTACAAAGCAATATGTATATATACAGTATATATATATATATATATGTATACAGTATATGTGTGTGTGTGTGTGTGTGAGACCCTGGACCACAAAACCAGTCATAAGATATATTTGTAGCAATTCTCAACAATACACTGTATGGGTCAAAATTAACGATTTTTCTTTTTGCCAAAAAATCATAGGATATTAAGTTAAGATTATGTTCAATGGGTTACCTGGGTCAAACTTATAGATTTTTCTCTGATGCCAAAAATCATTAGGATATTAAGTAAAGATCATGTTCCATGAAGATGTTTTGTAAATTTCCTACCGTAAATATATCAAAACGTAATTTTTGATTAGTAATATGCATTGTTAAGGACTTCATTTGGACAGCTTTAAAGGCGATTTTCTCTCTTTTTTTTTTTTGCACCCTCAGAATCCAGATTTTCAAATCTTTGCCAAATATTGTCCTACCCTAACAAACCATACATCAATAGAAAGCTTCTTCATTCAGCTTTCAGATGATGCATAAATCTCAATTTCTGAAAAAATGACCATTACCACGGGCTTTGTGGTCCAGGGTCACTTATAAACAGTGTTGGGGAAAGTTAAATTACGTTACTTAGTTACTTTTTATGGAAAGTAATGCGTTACGTTACGTTTGCTTTACTTTTTAAATCTGGACAGGGCTTGCTTGTTAAAAAAGTTCTATTTTTGGCAAATATAAAAGCCCTTTCACACCAAAAGTGAAATGAATAAGCCTCAGGCTGAAGGGAAAGTACATTTACGTCCGTACAGTAGAATGCAGAAGAAGACATTTCAACACACTTCAGCAATAAACAAAGACACACAAATGTTCGTCTAGAGTCATTTCTGCTTATTAGTGGTTAAACTGGATCATCGAAGGTCAGAAGCAAAGACATTAGTTAATAGAATGGGATTAAATACATAAAGCATATTTGTGTTGTTTAACATTTAATTATTGCAGGTTTGCGTCATATTCAGAGTTGCATTATTTGTATTCATTTTGAGGAAAACTGAATCTGTGTTTTTTTTTGTGAGTGAGATGAATTAATGCATATTCATATTTATTTCAGAACTACAGTAACATCTGATTTCTCTCAACATGGGGACAGGAGAGCTGTCAGTCAATAAATTGGGAAAAAAAAGTAACTTGCGTTACTTATTTGCAAAAGTAACTCAGATAGTCTCTTGTAAATTAAAAAGTAATGCGTTACTTTGCTAGTTACTTGAAAAAAGTAATCTGATTACGTAACTCGCGTTACTTGTAATGCGTAACACTGCTTATAAATGATGTACTTCTTCACCATATGTCCCCATAAAATGTGACTTTCTTTGCATTTTTATATACTGTATGTAGGCCACTGTGTCTGACACGTTTAAAAGTCTTCTGTCATTTAATAAGCAATCACTTTTGCACTATATGACTGATGCATCCCCTCGCCTTATGCCCCCCAGAAAGCTATTACTAATGTTTTATTGATTTTTATGCATGCACATGTGCATTACGCGTTTCCTCACCGTATGTCCCCTATAGAAGGCGATCTCCTCTGCATTGGCTATGATTCTGGAGTGCACATAACGCAAGTAGCCCTTCCTGTGCGCCTCCTCCGCCACCAGCTTACCGAACCTCGGCGAGCAAGCGCGCAGGACCTTCGCCGTGGCGAACACCACCAGACCCGCTAAGAGAGTGGGTCCGGTTGCGTTCGCACCCCGAGATCGCGCAGTCTGTATTAAAGTATACGAAGTCAGTATCACGTCCAGGATGGGTTTGGTGAGGTTTGAGTACAGATGCGCAATGGACTGCGAGAACATCATCACATCCTCGGTTAGAGACTGGTCCGGGTTCGCCAGCCTCCCGTCCATGTTGCTGACCTTATAATAGGTCTGATCGGTGAAATAGGTTTTATATGCATGATCCACCAAACGCGTGCGGAACGCGAGCGCGAGCTTGCACTCCAGATAGCGGATCGCGCTGTTGACGAAAGTGGCCGGGATGGCGATCAGAAGCCATTTCATCAGTTTGATCACGAAGCTCCGCGGCTGCTTCTCTACGATCGTTTTCACTATTTTACCATCCAGCCCTGCCACATAAATAGACAGAAACGTCCGTGAAACCAGAGCTAGTGAATGTAAACAGAGTAAACCCAGTTCTTTAGTTACAAACCTCGGGAACACGATTCGAACCAGTTCAAGAACCTGCTTGAAGAATTGCGCATTGACGCCGGGTGATTTACTAAGGCTACAGGCAGTCTCTGGAGCAGATATCAATCCATTCTCATGTCCAGATGCGTTGTTCCTGGTTGTTTTCCGTTGATGTATTTGTTTGCAGATGATGGGGTAAAGCGCTTTGGCTCCGTATGCGGCGGCCGCCAGGAACACCGCTCTTTTCGCCGCAGTGCTCGGATTCCATCTCACTTTTGATGCTGCATGAAGGATGTTGCTCATTTTTTAACCCTGCCTTTACACAAATGAGTCGTTCGCAATCTTCAGTTTGTTCCAAATGGCATCCATAGGGTCACTCAATGTCTTAAACAGAGAAGATATACTTATAATTCATGGTGCCGTAAGGTTGAAGCTGCACCGCTATGCAAGACGTTTCCGTCATTTGGGCTTTTCTCGCTGGCCACGCCCCCACTCCGCGCTGATTGGTTGCCGCACTTGACGTATTTACATATAGCAGAATGGTCTGATTGCATTATTTAAAATTGTTCCTTTGATGCTGTTATGAATGCAATTGATAATAGTTGAAAACCAACACTGTGATCCTCTCTCGCTCTCTCTCTCTCTATATATATGTATGTTGTATTAATGTTCTTGTTATGCAATAAAAAATGTCAAAACTAATATCTGTTTAGTTATTTTGGTTTTTAAATAAAAATTACCTTTGAAATAAAATATATTATTTGAATACATAACAGATTATATGAATTATAGTTGTGTAATAATTATATTAACATATAATTAAATATATTATATAAATGTATTATAAAATATATTTTATTATCATTATATGATTTTCTTGTAATTGTCCAATTTTATGATGTGCTTTGTCAATAATATTATCTATAATCAAATCTAAAATCTGAAACAACTTTGCTGCGTAGTTCCGTTTTTTTTCCCCAGCGACATTTTTAATTAATAACATTTATTCCGATACTGAACTGAGATATTACAATTAGAAAAATAACAAAAAAATGAATCGCTGATGTAGGTTGAGACCACTCATATATATATATATATATATATATATTTATATACAGTTATGATATTTAACACACCTTATATCTTACCGGTTGCTGCTCTTAACATTGACTTAATAGCCTCATAACCTGAAAAGTTACAATTTTTACGCTGTCAGTATTTAGTTATCTGTAACGAAAGAGTGTCGGTGGGTGAATTAAAAAAATACAAAAATAAAATTAAAAAAACCGCCTAAACTGAGGGCAACATGAACTGGGTCGGAGGATCTAGGTTTGTGCTAACTTGCTAGCTTTATTGAAACTCGCTAATAACTGACTTTATACCATTACTTGGCTGTAAAATTAACATTTCAAGGAGGTCAAAGCAGAGATGTCAAAATGACTTTATATAAATTCGTTAAGTGTATATATGTATAATGGCGCCGTGTCTTAACTAAACAGGAGCAGGTTTATGAAAAGCAAAGAAGACACAACAAAACAAAGAGTAAGTACAACCTCCAAACTAACTGTTTGAGACTTTACACTCTTTTTAATAACTACACATTCTTCATACTACATTTGAACGACAACTTTATTGTAAATACAAATATTAACTACAGTTATATGAATTTAGTTCAGCGTTGGGGAAAGTTACTTTTAAAAGTAATGCATAACAATAATGCGTTACTCCATAAAAAAGTAACTAATTGCGGTACTTAGTTACTTTTTCTGGAAAGTAATGCGTTACGTTACTTTTGCGCTACTTTTTAAATCTGGACAGGGCTTGCTTGTTTGTTTTTAAAATGAAAAAAGTTCTATTTTTGGCAAATATAAAAGCCCTTTCACACCAAAAGTGAAATGAATAAGCCTCAGGTTGAAGGGAAACTACATTTACGCCCGTACAGTAGAATACAGAAGAAGACATTTCAACACACTTCAGCAATAAAAAACCTCACAAATGTTCGTCTAGAGTCATTTCTGCTTATTAGTGGTTAAACTGTATCATCGAAGGTCAGAAGCAAAGACATTAGTTAATAGACTGGGATTAAATACATAAAGCCTATTTGTGTTGTTTAACATTTAATTATTGCAGGTTTGCGTCATATTCTGAGTTGCATTATTTTTATTCATTTTGAGGAATACTGAATCTGTGTGGGGTTTTTTTGTGAGTGAGATGAATTAATGCATATTCATATTTATTTTGAACTACAGTAACATCTGATTTCTCTCAACATGAGGACAGGAGAGCTGTCAGTCAATAAATTGGGAAAAAAAAGTAACTTGCGTTACTTATTTGAAAAAGTAACTCAGATATTCTCTTGTAAATGAAAAAGTAATGCGTTACTTTGCTAGTTACTTGAAAAAAGTAATCTGATTACGTAACTCGCGTTACTTGTAATGCGTTACCCCCAACACTGATTTAGTTGCATTAATTGATAGGGATTAGTCTGGGGTCACAGGTGGTTAGGGTTAGTTTTTTTAGTGCGTTATTTTATCTTAAACCTGTGCTCTTGTAATTCTCTGTTTCAACTCAAGGCGTTTTTTCAAAAGCAAAGGATGAAAAGAAAGTCAAATATTGTGGACTCACCCAAAGGCTACAACCCTGACAATATGGATCTGCTGACATTATTCATAGTCAACCAGATTTCATCAAAGAAAGAGCAAACAGGTACAGTGATGGTGCACTTATAAATGAACACAACGCAAACATTCTTTTATGGCCGTTTAATAAAGCTCATTTGGAGAATCATATGTTATCATTTGTCTTCTAGACAAACCAAAAACAAATCTTTTGACTGGTGTGAAAAGAACCAAAGGAGCTTTGAAAGAACCCTCAGAGTTACCAATGAGCCCTTGTTCTCCTTCACAGCTGAACCTAGTTACCAGTCAGCCACAGTACTGGTATGTTTCAAGAAGCTTTGTTACTCCTTCTAGGCTATATTTCTAAATGATTTCATCTACAGATATTGAGTATTTGTTTCAACAGTATTGATACGCCGGGTTATAAAGTCAGAAAACATCGTCTCTCTGAAGAATTCAAGTTCACGCCGGTAAGGATGACTAAAATGGTCACTACCACAAAATCATTCACCAGTATTTTATTTAGTAACCACTGACATAATATAAATTTAGCATTAGTAACATTTGTAGAATTCATATGTGTAAGTCTTTATCATACATGGTTTAAAAATGGTTTCTTCATCCTTAGCTGTCTCCTTTGCTTGAATCGAACCTGTCTGATGCCAGTGGCTCAGAAAATCAACCGCAACCACCCACAACATCTTCTGGCTCTTCAGATCCAATCCAACCCAAACCTGCACCACACATATCCTCTTCTCTGCCAACGCTGGAAAATCTTAACACTATGAAGAAAACTCCTCAGGTGTGATCATTTAAAATCATTTAAAAGTAACCCAAATTGTTACAGTTTATGACTCTTCAGTTTGTGTCGTTCGCTCAACCAACAAAGCTGGCTAATCCATGGCCAGATGAAGCTCTCATGCAAGATGTGTCACACAACAGCTCAGCAGCTGGAAATCAGTTTGAGAGCACATTACCAAAGTGAGTACAATGATGTTACTATATCCCGATGCAATATGCCAGTAAAAGAGAATAGACATGGGAAAGTGCTTGTAACATGGAATTAACAGAATGTGTTGCAGCCCAGAGAGGGGAGAGCATTCAGAGGCCTCGGTTTTATATCCACTCAACCCTTCAAAGAGCACTGAAGAACCAGAGGAGCCACTGTTCATAGATTTTAAGAACTTAGATTATAAAGGTAACAATATAGCTTCTAGCACAATAAGATAATGCACTCACTGTATAAAAATAGACATGAAAACCCGTAGAAAAAGTCACAACTTTCCAGAAACAATATTATATGCAATGATTGATTGACTTACTCAATTAATGATCTTTCCAAGGCTCCATGAGCACTCAGTCCAGAGTACAGTCAGTACTTTAATACATTGTATATTACAGATGTTCTTTATAATTTTCATTTCTTTTAGTGCTCGACTCGATGAATTCTTGTGACAGATCACAAAACTTGGACAGTAATGGCCACCTCTCGACACAGGTATACAGTGCTTGTGCACTCAAGTCTCGAAACATACACACACACACACACACACACACACATAGTTTTGTTGGTAAAATTGCTGACTAACTTTAGTACATTTATTATTTACAAATATTACCCCCTTGTGGTTAAAAGCAACATAGACAAAAGCTTCAGTAGATTTCTAATAAACTTGTTTTTAGATGCCAACTTGGCTTGTGTTTTGACCTTCTCATTTTTTCTTCTTCTTCAGGAATTTGTATGTACTGACAGCAACACATGTAAGTGTTCTGGTTATTGTTTTTTATAAAGTATCATTTTAATGGCGCTTACTCAGAACAAGACGTTTTATGATGTTTCAGCAGGGGCTGATGGTAGCAGTGTCTTTGTGCATGTTGGAAAATCTCCAAGAGGAGTTCATCTCAGCTCAGATGACGTAAGACATTAAAAACTGTCCTGTAATTTGAATAATCCTAATCACCGTAATAATGAAATTGGTTTCTGTAATCTCTCCTAGCGTGAAAAATGAACACATCTAAACATAATGAAAGTGTTTGGCTTTGTTCCTAAAAGCATTTCAGTGGATACACATTTCACTTCATTCACTAAAAGAATACAACATTTACTGTGTTGATAAGCACATCTTTCGCTTTAAAATATGAGATATGATATTATCATGTGAAAGACAGAAAACCTATTTTATAGCTTTATGATCCCCTGAAATTTTCAAAATCAATGAAAAAAAAAAAAAAAATGAGATTATGCCATTCTGAAGATAGTGTCAAGGCAAAAGCACTGTTGCTTATCGGTGGACAGTTTAACAGAAACACCTTCACAAGCTCCATCCTGCCAACAGGAGGCAAAATCCAGAGTTTGAGACAGTGAACTGTGGACAAAAACATGAGGAAAATCTGTTTGTTTTTTTCATCTGCAGACAGAAGCACAAAGGCGTGATGGGACTCTAACAATAACCTTGGAAGCAGGGACACAAACAGGAGCTTTATCTTACCGAGATGTCTCAGTTCAGTGCTCACTTATTCATCACAGCAACTCTGTCCCTTTCCACTCTGCTAATAAGAAAACCAGCGCCTTTACCACAAGGTGGCAGTATTCTAATTTTAATCAGTTGCTTAATCCAACAACACATACTTCTCCAAAAAATGGGCACAAAAGATCAGGAAACATGCCCTTAGGGCCATTAGCAACAAACCAGCAGGCACAGAGACATCCAAAATCACAAATGGGCATCTCCTTCCGCCAACTTCATAGTCAGAAGAGCATGAAAAGAGATCTGTCGTCAGCTTCGAAACATCCTTTCTGCAAAGCCTCAGGTAGAAATAACTAACCCATTGTGAAACCTTACAGAACACATTTCCAAATGTTTCTTAAAGGAATAGTTCACCCAAAAATGAACATTGTAATTTTTTTCATTCCTTCATGTCTTCCCAAACTTGTATTTGCTGTTCTTTTCAGTACAAATAGGACAACAAAACTTGATCAAATTAGTGCGTACAACTGAAGTTTCAGAGTAGAAGTAATTTTCAGCATGGCACATTGTGTTTGGTTACAATATGAGCAAAACTGGTGTCACTAACGTCAAACCAGGGGCGGACTTACCCATTAGGCAAAGGTAGGCGACCGCCTTGGGCCCCCAAAAGCCAAGGGCCCCCTAAAATGCTTTTCATATAGGATATGCGCATTAAGCGCGGACACGCGAACGTTTGCAGTTTACGGTGTTTATTACCACAACAACCGTCCGAGTCTGTGGCGCCTGCAGGTGTACAGCTGTACGCACTGTGAGTACCATGAGCGCTCAGACGGATCTGAGATTTGCCCCGCAAACATTTCGACTGAACCCATACCGTTAATTATGAATTTATTAGTCTTTTCAGCATAGAAATATTACGTCAATATCTGCATAGAAATATTACGCCAAATAGAAGCAGAAAATCGTCCTATACGCACTTTCATGAGATCGGCTTAGCCTACAACAATTAATTTGTTGGATATTTTACAAATGGGAATACAACGAATTCATGACTATGTTTACATTCCAGCTACCCGTAAAATATATAGTGAAAAGTACTTTAAATGCGTCTGGAATGCCTTTGGAGTAATTTTAAAGCTGTTTTTTACAGCATTTGCTGCATGGATAAAAAATATAAATAATTAACATATCATACAGAATTGCATTGCAGCAAATCATTTAAATTTTAAGGTATTCAGAACAGAGCAACATAAAAATCAGAAAAAGCAGCTATTCAATTATAGGACAAAGTTTTCATATATGCCATTATAATTAGTGTTTTATTGTTTTAACTGTTATAATTATAATCGGGCCTTCCATCAATTATAGTGATGAAAAATGACTCGCCATCTCCTAATTGGATGTGCCTTTAGAGAGAAATGCACGGATTTCACAATGAAAGAGTTTATTTTAATAGGAGTCTATTTTCGATTTGAATTATTTCGTTTTAAAATAGTAATTTAAAGCTTTCTATATACTTTGATCATGTCTGAGTTTAGGTTAATCATTGTGACGCGCTCCTGTTCAAGACCGAGACGGCAGAAAGCGTTTGTTTTCTTTATTTTATAAAAGCAAATATTTGTTGATATTGTGAGTGCACACAAATAAAACTAGACCCTTTACAGTTTAGAATGATGTATTACTCTTACCTTTATGAGCAAAAATGACTGCGTATTTTAAGTTGTTTCCACTGTTAGAAAAAAATGCAAGTGATCGCACTGGCGCCTCCATGTCCTGCAGAG